GTATCAACTGTTATCTGGTACACCTTCAGTTATTGCTGGCTGTTGGCGTTTTGGACTCCTGAGTCTGTGCTCAACAACTATGCTTAAAGAATAAAAAAAATCCCACTGTCCTATTTCTGGAATGTTATGAGACAAAGAAAACGCCGTCTAGAACTCTCACAGGAAACAGAGAGCACCCCGTGGTTCATGTCAATCAAATCATTGCTTAATCATCAGAGCTGGAATGAGCCAAAATGTAATATATTTTGTGTGTGTTGCCATTAGTGATCGGACTAAGACCATCAGACCGGCTACACTTGAGAAGCCCGGTTTAATCAAGTTTTCAAGTTTCATTTATTAGGTATAGCCCTGTGAGCCATGCGGTTTAATCACAGGTGGCTGAGATCCCCCGGATTCAACCGCAGGGATCTCAGCGGTGCTGACTCAGCGCTCTGCCTACTGAGCCACCCGATCACCATCACAAATTAACATAATTAAGGTACTTTTACTGTGGCGTATATTAATAAGAGCGTATAATATAACTCAGTTAAAAAAATACTGATGTTTCCTATTTCTCGTTATTTTACTGCAATGATGTCACATTTAAGCTGTATTTTTATGTCATAAGAAAAACACTTTTATTTGTTCTGAGATAACGCATCAACTATATTTAGTTTCACACAACCCACTTATGATTACTCTGAAATGTTACATATTATGGGAATTATTTTGGATGCAGTGGCTTAACTGAAATGCAAGAAATAAAACAATTATTTATTTGGCAGCTCTGCGGTCATACCCAAAAAATGTTTTCATTACCCAATAATGGTTGCAGTCTCACTGAGTCTCAATAACCAGAGGCCCTGTCATCCTGGCTTTCACAATTATGTCTCCTTGAGTCTCAAGATGGGGGGCCTCTGGACACGGCACAGAGTCACGACAGAGGTGGGAAGCAGTGGTTGACCGCACGGTGCTACGAATGCGGCCGCCCAACTTCAATTCCAGGCCATGGTCTAACATCAGTGGTGAGTGATGTCTGACCCAATTTTGCCCTCATCCACCTTCACCAACCCGCACTTACCAGCGTGATGAAGTACGGTTAAAAAAAAAAAACCTATGACCGACATGGCATCAGAAAACCTTCAACCAGCAGTGCACTGAAAATGGCTGGAACATTTGATTAGATTTTTTTTGCAAAAATAACATTGTGGCAAGTCACAGCATGGTTTATATGATTGTGCCTAAACGCAGAGGTGCCTCCAGACGCTCCCAATGAACACAAACGCCGTTGTGTTTAGTCTGCTGAAATCTTGGCACGAGACTTTCGAGACCAGCCCTGGCCAACAGATGTGAACGACCCTAAACATTGTAGGGTTGGTAACATTCGATAGGGGGGGTGGTGACTGTACCACAACGATGAAATCGCTCGACACTTTAGCTCTCTCCGACGCGTTGCACGCACCGTAGCACGTGTTGTTCGGCATTACATCATTCAGAACATCGCGTGGTGTCAAACTGTAATAGCTCTCACACGGGAGAGATATTGCAGGTACAACAGTGAAAACCTGCTCCGTACGTTTACGTCATCTCTGCCGTGGAAAGTTGCAACAAGCTGCTGGCTCAGCTTATATTTTTTCAACAAGGTCAGCAGTTCAACTCTTAACAAACACCTGGTGAACATATGTGGGGGAGCAATAAGCGGCTCCACTTTGGTTTCAAACCACACACAGAAATGTGCAAAATACACACAGCCTCAGTGCATTATGGGAAAACCGTTAGTATTTTATGAAGAACATTGTGGTCCTCTTGTCTTCGGTCACCAAAATAAATTTGAGAAAATGTGACTGACTGACCAGCAGCAGTGATGCAGTGATGGACAACTGTTGATTGGTTTCGTCATTATTAGGAGTCATCAGCACCGTATGGTCACCACTGCTCGATGCTGAAAAGCCTGCACCTGGAAACCACACACGTGGCATCTCTACTTCCGCAATGTGGGGTTCATTTACTTGGCTCTTGCCAAGTATAATCCAATCCGTAAGTGACGATGTTTTCACAGATTTGATTAGCGGCACCATCTGTTGTAAAGTGAACGTGAATGAACGAAGGGGGTTGTTGAGCGCAGGCCTCATCACGATCCCAGTCTTTATCATTGACAAAGAAAGAAAATTGTGCGGATTAGGTTATGTATCGTTTTCTGGCACGCGGTTCTCATTGGAAGTATTCGACAATAATCAATTGTTGCCAGGCATGCAGGAAGCAGCCTGTCCCGAACGCCACGATACACCTCAGGGCTCGGAGAGTGATCAGTGTGGGCTAGAGAGTAAGTCCCGAATAGCAACAAATTTCATACCATTTTCGAATACAATGTGTTTTTATTTTACCAGTGAATGCTCTGCTAAGACGAAACATTTTGAAATGAACAAACCGGATGCACACTGAGTAAAAACATGACCTAATTTCTCCCGATATTTTCCAGATCGTTGCTAGACTGGCTTGGAATGGGCATTATTAGCTAAGGCACTACCACTAGAGTACGAGGTACGGACATCCATAATAATCTTACATTATTATACCGTCTTCCGATAATCGTATGACGAACTTTCAGGCAAATTAAGGATAGATGGATGTTGCATTCCAAAATAATTGCCAGCACAGCGTTCTGCAAAGTTACAGATGAAATTAAAACTAAAAACTAAAACATTTTATTTGACCAGGTAAAGCCCACTGAGTTGTGTCGCTCTTTTTCAGAAGCGACCTGGCTACAAACGAAGTGGCTTATCATATGGAAATTTATATTTTCTGTCTCGGTTATGAACATAGATTTTTAGACGAGACTGTGAGGCTTTCTCACATAGACACACATGCATATACTGTGTACATGATTAATAACGATAGTTCCTGTAATGCCAATTATTTAGCCAGGAAAGCCTAACCGAGTCCAGGGGTTATTTTTCAGGAAGTGCTGTGGAATGGAATGTTTGGCCAATACCATTAATGAGCGTTTTGGAGGAAACCAAAGTAGCCAGAAAGACAAAAACGCACACGAGGATTGGTGACAGCTCTGCACCTAGAAAAAAATACATGGTAAGCCATTGCAGTGACCCATTCCACCTAAGTACTAACCAGGCTCCAAACCTGCTGCTGAGCTTGTGAAATCCACCAAGATCGAGTGCATTTGTGGCCGCTTTTCCCCCCCTCAGCTCACCCCACGACCCCCTTAAGTTCCCCCTTATAAGCACTACCTCTGTTCCTGCTCCCTCTTTATAATCTCTCACCATGGTTTACCACTCGTTCAACCATCCATCCAATCGTTTCATTATCATAATCTCTCATTAATTTAGTTTTTACCTAATTCACGCATCACAGATTCACCCATTACTTCCTCTTATCTATTTGACTAACTTCAACATCACATTCATGTGTACCACCATTCATTTTCTGTAAAGCGCACAGGTCAAGGCACTATATAAATTATATTTAGATAACTTTTCATTATTGTAAGTATCAACAATAAAACAAACAAATGCCGTTTTTCCATGCATGTTGAGTGAAATTGTACTCGCCATTTACAGACCTGAGCCAGCTCTGGATTTTTATATCCAAAGGCTGTGGCCAGACCAAGTGTCAACGTCTCATCATAGGGTTCATGCTTCATGTGCCTACTTTGTACACGAGCAGTACGATGTCAATCCACTGCTGGAAGAGGGCCTCACAACTCCATGCGGCTTATTAGACCATACTTCAATGAGCCGGTCAGTGTGTTTTGTACGCAGCATGGACGGGTGGTGCTTTCAAATCAAGAGTCGAATGGCTCACAGGGTAAATCCTAATAAATGAAACTGAAAACTGAAACTACATTGGTGAAGATAGGGAGCAGACACAAGGGAGCACAAAAGTAAAGAACGGTGGATTTTACTGGACCGAATTCTGCTGCCCACCACTTAGCCTGTGACAAATTCACCGATAATGTGCTTCTGATCTCGTCTCATCTCTGAAGATAAGCAGGGTTAAACTTCACTTTCTTTTTATTTTACCATGTAAAGCCCACTGAGCTATATAACTCTTTTTCAGAAGCAACCTGGCCCACATACGGTAGCTTAACGAAGTGGCTTTTCACGTGGAAATGTATAGCAGCCAAATACAGGCATGGGAGACCATCACCATGCACAGCAGGTTGCTATAGGCTGCTGTAGGAGCCTCGTTTTGAAATGAGGGGTTAAAATGGCCGCATTGCTCTCTCAACCATAACTTGAACTCGGAACCTCTCTACTGAGAGCCACGCACTTTAATAATAACAGAGACGCTCTGTCAAGGAGAAACATTTTGAGATGAACAAACCGTATCCGCTCTGCCAATAAACAAAAATATGACCTAATTTCTCACTCAATATTTTCAAGACCGTTGCTAGGCTGGCTTGGAATGGCCATTATTAGCTAAAGCACAAGCACAAGGTATGCACATCCATAATAATCCTACATTATTAAACCGTATCTTCCATAATCGTATGAAGAACTTTCAGACAAATTAAGGCGAGATGGATGTGGCATGCCAAAATAATTATGGTTGCAGCTGAAATTAAAACTAAAATTTTTAATTTTTGCCAGGTAAAGTCCACTGAGCAATGTAGCGGTTTTCAGGAACGACCTGGCCACAAATAATAGCTCAACGAAATGGCATATCTTGTGGAAATTTATAATAGCCAGATACTCTAAAAACATGTTTCTAAATGTGGAGGGAAAAATCGGAGGGCCTGGATAAAAATCCACACAACCATGGGGAGAACATGCAAACGCCAAATATACAGGCGTCAGGGTTGGGATGGAACCTACGACCTGCATATTTCAGGCGAGGGGAGTTAACATCTTGTCACCGCGGCGCCGAGTATATAGATCTCTTGAAATAACGAGACAGGAACAGTACATTTTTTTAATTAAGGAACAGTTTGACGAATATAATGAATAAAATGTACCACACAATCATGTGACCTCCACACCATACAAAACAAAGTGAAAACTTACCCAACAGTGTGAAGCCTTTCAGAGACCGGGTTGTTTGAATTATCATGGTGAAAAATGAAGGAAAAATAATCAACATCTATTGATGAATAATAAGATAAAAACCTGTACTCACAATATTTTGTTGATTAAAAATACACAAAATATATTTTATTGGACAGCCACAACGGTGAAAACAGCAGTTGCTTAAGAAACCAGTCGATTCAAGTCCCTTGGAAAATACCACGACGGGTGATCCTACGATTGCTGCGTCCACTCGCGCGCAGTGGTGTGGCTTTCTGAGCACCCAGCGGGCCCAGAGAAATGGATTTATTGGGCCAGGAAAGCTCCGTGGTGAAAAACCACAGCCCCTTTTTCCCCGCAGCAGCCACCTCCCCTCAATCACCGCGAGAATTCACTACTCCTGAAAAAATAAATTATAGCTTTTGGCTTTTTTTCTTTTCCTCCCCATTTTCGTGGAATCTTTTTTGCGTGGATTATTTTTACAGTGGGGTTTTTGGGGGGTTGAATTCTTTCAGCGGGATCGTATCGCGGGGCTTGGTGATGTTTTGACTGAGGCTGTGCACTCAAGTTGTCCGACATTCCTTTCTTTTGCGGAAAGCTCTCGCGCGTCAGTTCTGTCCACCTCGAAAGGACATGTGGTTTCCAACGCGCTGAGCTCGGCAAGGCTTTAAAGTCTCCACTCGATTTTCCACTACACCGCTGCTGCTCCTGCTGCTAGGCTGGGTTGGGGTGCGGTTTGTTAGTGTAAAGCACGACCACGGGAGTACAAGGTGACCGTGATACTATATTGTTCTAACTTTTATTCCTATAATCATATACACAGGTTCATATATATGTATGCATGGACTCACTGATGTTGAGAGAATGGTTTTCGTTAATTGGGCGAGATGGATGTGAATCCCAGAACCGCATTCGCAATGTCTGGGCTGAAATTAAGCACCAATGATAGGTATGAGTTCCAGATTTCCAGATTAAGCCATTTGATGTATTAACAATTCAAGTTGTTAAGATGTAATCAGTAACATCAGAAATCGTAAAATAAAATTTGACATTGGGCTTTAAAAAATATACAATATCCAAATAACGTTAACCTAACTCATCCTTAGCGCAGGGCAGATAGGCCTGCGGCAATACCCTCCCTTTAAAAAAAATATCAAAACCAGTCTAGCTCTCGAGTGTAATGATGAATCGATTCCTAAATGCTCACGATACATAACCTTGAACTGCATGTGTAACAGTTTATGTTCATGAAATGGTTTAATTAAATCATAATAAGTGACAACCTTCTGTTAACTAAAGTTGTTGTGCCGCCCACAGTTTCCACGCCTCTAAAGCCCGTGGTGTCCCAAGAATCCGTCATATGCAAGGGACCGAACTAGAGAGCCCGCTCGAGTTCGTCAAAGGACGCCGGGGAAGGACCCACCCCCCCCAAGGCGGTTGGGTGGACATTCAAGATCCCCCCCTTGAGCCACATGCAGATGTTTTGTTGTTAAATGTGTTATAGTTGTTGTTACTGGGTGAGTGGGCTCACAATACTCACTCCTTAAAATAGCCTGTTGAGTTCGCGATCGTCACACGTCTGATTACAAAATTATTTACTGTAGTTCTGCCTTAACGCAGGGTTCCACTAAAAATGAGAGGAAATGTTGGCGGCGGATATAATCTCACCATCAACAAGCCCCTGGGGAGCACCGGTGGTATTGGTTAAAAAGCAGGACGGAAGCCTGATTAAGGGATGGACGCCTCCTCATACGCGGAGGATGTTTGGCCACAGCTGCCCCCGTCCCTTTCTGCTCACTATGGGTTGGTGATCGGAAGCACTCGAGAAGAACGGGGTTCAGATCTCTAAATCTATCTCAAAATCGTCCACCCTCTCGACCCTGCCCGTGATGAAGCCTTTTGCCTTGCACACTCGCCAGTCCCGGCTTCTCGGCACCTCCTCGCATCAGTATCTGTAAAAGTGATCCCCCTTCCCGCAGTTCAAACCTCACCTGGGGGCCGACTTCATCCACCAGCAGCCTCGGCCAAGCCCCCGGGTACTTTCGATTCTCCCCCCCCGCCTCTACCCTCCCCTCCTCCCCCCTCTACCCCCCTCCACCCTCTCTCTTCCCCTCCCTCCCCCTGCCCTCTCTTCCTCCTCCCTCCCCCTTCTCTTCCCCCCTTCTCTCCCCTCCCCCTCTCCCTCTTCCCCCGTAGTCTACACCCCCTGCCCCACCCCTCCCCCCGCCCCCCTCAATTCCCTCTCCTCCACTCCCCCAATACCCCCCTCCCCTCCCCCTCTATCTCTACCCTCGTCCACCCCCTTTGTCGTAGCAACGTTTTATGTCCAAGTATTTATTTAACCTCACAACGTTTCAGTTATTGTAGCTCATTCTTAAACATATATGTTTTTAATACATTGCATTTTCTTGCATGGAAAAAGCTCAGAGACTCCCTTGCGTTATTAATATTGTTGTTAATTTCATAAATCGCTCATCCAATCGGAGCACCATACCTCAATTGTTGCCGTTGCAGTTTGGAGAAAATAAGCGAGGGCAGAGCCGAATGGAACAATGGAAAAATTCCTCAAAGTTGCCGAATGAATAACCCTCATGAGGTCGCTCTTATGACACACAAAGTGCTTGCCACCAAATAAACCACAGTACCTTTGCTGATCTCGCCAAGAAACAAAAAACATCACGTGAATTCTGGTCATCCTCGCAGCAGCGGGTTTTAGCTGCCATTGAACAAAGAGGGTCACCGCATCCACGCGCTCTCAAATGCTCTTCCGCGACCATTTGCAATGCTATTCCTTCCGATATTGGGAAGTCACTGGGAGCTATGCACTTTGAATTCAAGATTGAAAATTTATTTCTTTAGAACTGCATTTTGTGTTCAGTTTGTTGTCCTTCCCCCGCACCTCTGATTAGCTATGTGCGGTGTGCAAGAAGTTCCACGTACATACATAGAACGCTTGTCTCCATCACCGGCACTTCCTCCATTCTACCTACTCATAACCTCATCCAGCGCAACTGTTAATTCCTAATCGTGTCTACAACACTCGCTGATTCTGTCTTTCCATGAAATTCCCAGTATCTGTCTAAAGACACCTGGTGCTCAAAATACCAACAACTTATTTTCAAATTTGATGAGTCCAGCTCTGCCCCATCTCTCACCCAACCACAACTTGGGTGAGTGATGAAAAAAATCTAGCAAATGTAAAACGAATTGCCAATAAAATGTACATTGTGGAGGGGGGGGGTTTGCAGAAGGTTTTGCTAGCCAGCTGATTCCATCAACGTAATTGCTGCATTTTGGCTGCCTAGGTGGCTGTGTTTGAAACCAGAGATAACAGCTGCTGTGCTTCTATCCTCACGGCCAAAACATTTGTGATTCAAATATTTGTAGTTATATATATATTTTCCACGCGTAGAAAGCAATTCGGAAAATAATAAATGCTGACAAATAAAGATTTTATTTAATTCACATTCCTAAAATGCGTAAGAAGGGTGGGGGGTGTAGAGGTGGAGGAAATAGCAGCCTTAAGCAAATACTCGTGGTAAAACATGTTTTTTTTTGCATCACAACAGAAGCAAATGATTAAGCAAATGGGAGAATAGCTTTTCCCCTTATTTCTGGCAACAAAACAGCTGTGTTAAGATGTTAAAACACCAAATTGAAACCTTTTTATAAGAAATCATGTCTGCATTAACCACAATACTTGTGGTCAGAATGAAAAAAAAACTCTGATAATATATGCATTGTCTTTGAAACTGATTGGTCCACACCAAAGACAGCTTTCTTTAGAGCCTCGTCTTAAAACGGTGTGAGACCAGAGGACGTCCTAGTGTAGAGTAGATGACTGCGTTCTGAACTGGCTCTCAGGTTTGTATTCCCCGCCGGGTGCCATGGCCGTAGAGCCACGTGGGTCGCAACATTAGGCGCTATGGCTCCCAGATGGATACAGTTTTGCCAGCAGGAGGAGACAGATATTGCAACATGGATTTTACCCAATGAAGTCATTTGTGATACATTTTCAAATGTGGGCCCGTGACACCGGTACTCATGGCCCGGCTCGAATGACACCACGCGACACCGCAAACAAGGACTGTGAGTATCGTCCGTGGGTAACATTCCCGCAGCATTAACCAGGGGCAGCCGCGGTGCTCAAACAGCGAACAGTCTGCAACTGGCGGCCATCGCCCACCCGACAGCCGCTACCGTTCGGCCTTTCACGGTCACGGTTAGCAGCGGAGCCTTGCCTCTTCTGGTCCCTGGCTCTATAACGCAACCACTCTGCATCTCTCGGGACGATTCGTGGCAGTGAGTGGCTACCAGGCCTTGCTCGTTTACGTGCCCTCACTCGGGCCTCTGGTGAAGACAAAAGGGCAGTGTGGAACCAGACAACAGACATCGAATTATCTTTCTCTACACTGACATCTGGTTGGAATAGTTTCCCGAGTAATGCAGCAAAATGTTTATTTATATTGTATCGGTTTTTTGTATCTCTTTTTCACATTTTCCCACATATGTCTCTCACGTATGGAGAAAAAAATACCATAACAAGTAGCGAAGATCTTCTTTGGGTCTTTCAGTAAAGTCACGTAGAATGAGAATAAAATAATAAATTAATAAAATAAAATAACACAATAAAATTCTCACGACGTTTCGGCCACAACACAAGTGGCCTTCATCAGGTGAAGGGACGAGACTGTCTGGAGGACAGCGCTGGAGCGAACACAGCCAAGCTCAGACCGTGACCTTTAAGCTGTGTGAGAAGAAACAGAGCGCCTTGACAAAGGAATTAGCATAAAAATTAGCATTTAATTGGCGGACTTAGTATGATGAACGGTGTAGAGGGGGTGAACATGTGCAGACCGGCGAGGGGGGGAGGGGGAGTTTACATATTGATGGTGTGAAAAGGGAATTTAAGCTGCTGCGAAAGTTTGGGATACCACTACTTGAAAAAAATATACTGTACCATTGAAAATTAGTTCAATGTTTGGTTCGGATAATTTAGCATTGAAATAGCTGCGTGATTAGCTTGTGACAGCTTAAAGGTCGCGGTCTGAGCTTGGCTGTGTTCGCTCCAGCGCTGTCCTCGAGACAGTCTCGTCCCTTCACCTGATGAAGGCCACTTGTGTTGTGGCCGAAACGTCGTGAGAATTTTATTGTTATTTCATTTTATTAATTTATTATTTTATTCTCATTCTACGTGACTTTACCAAAAGAACCAAAGAAGATGAATCCTTGCAGTCACGAAAGCTTTAAATCGAAAAAAAGTAGCGAAGACTCTTGAATAAAATGGCCTTGATTTTATGGAGTGAAGGCG